GCCCAAAAAGCTCTTTTCAACTGAGCACAGAAAGCATAACTACTTTCGAACTCCAATGCTAAAATCAAGAAGAGAAAAGACTTCAAAATAAAATTTCAAATAAGTTGGATTGTTTTGAAAAAAAAAAAAAGACAAATTAAGCTGACTTACTAAAATATAGTTGTGTTGTCAGTGATAAATCCATCGACCAGAAATCAGAACCAAAACTATATCTGGAAGGAAGACACAAAATGCTTTGTGTTAGCTTTTTAGGCTCATCATCATACAGACATCACACAAAAAAGGATACAGGGCTTTTTGATGCTGATGCCAATATGAATCTTTTTTTTAACCAGAAACATTTTAGTGCACAGTAGGTACAAATGATGCCATATACTTATAGTATGGCATCGGAAAGGGTGTTGTTACTCCTCACCTGATGCTAGGATTAGTACCAGTGCTAAGAACTGTCCAAATTTTTTAAGCAGTTCAGATATTTTAAATTATCAATCACACAGGTCTATAGAGTGATAACTTCAAAATTAATTCTGCAGCATGATGAAAACCCCAGAAACATAGCACAAGACATAAAGAACTAGCTAAATTGAGTCCGGCAGCGAATGGTATTACCTTTCAGAACATTCTCATTCCCAACATGTAGCATAATTACGATTTGTCACGTCCCATGGCATCTCAAAGGTAACCTTCCGCATCCCTATGATACGCTCCGGATTGTGGATGGAATCCAAAAGACACACATTCCAGCTGTGTATTCCAGCCCTAACCGTAACCTTAACCCTAACCTTAACCATATCAGATAGTGTTTTCCAAAGCGATGCATGATCAGAACGTAAAATAAATTTACATGTGTAGATTCATTCCAAACGGTTCTCGTGCCTCCAAAAGCTTAACATACCAACAATCTATCTCATAGTGTCGGTATGTTACGTTTTGGGATGAGAATGTGTTGGACCTTCACAGAGTCCAGGTTTCAGCTTCATAGATTCCATGTGGAATTACATGAAAAAAGAGAAAGAGGTTCCACAGAGGACCCGGAACAGTCAAGTACTCTGAACAAAGTGTACTACTAAGAATTGGTAGCTGCAGTTTAAAAGCGTTCATTTATCACTATTTTAATTTAATTTCACTCTTTTTTCTTCATCTGACATTTTGGTGCAATCCAATGCTCACAGTAGCACTGCATGTGTCTGATTGTTTGATAGTTATTCCACGGTATACATTTGCTTTTGGATGTGCAAAATTTGTGTGTACTTGCGTTGGTATGTGTGTGTGTGTGTGATGCGAGACTGGCTGGTTAGTGGACAATGGCTGGCCATCTGTGAGAAGTGAAGTGAGTGAATAACAGGTTGTCGCTGTTGAATGCCGGACTCATCACATCCCAGGAATGCTGATGGGGGCAAATGTTTGCCTGGGATTGACTGATATGAATGCACACAAACATATACATGCATTCTAAAGTTTCAGCAGTGTTCTGTACTCCTGCATACTGTGTAACTTACTTCCAAAATAAAATGTAAATCCAGGAATTTGTGTCTGATGAGAGGTAGGTCAACTGAGTAAAAAAAAAAGAGAAAGAGAGAGAACGGAAGCTCCATAGACAGAAAGGAAATATCGCGGTCATGATTTAACTGTGTTCTTAAAAAACTGCTTAGAAACACAAATAAATAAATAACAAAGACTTTTCAGATGTCTTACACGTGAAACATATTCTCAAATGACAAATGGCTACTAATTCACCAGTCTAACAGTGGTATGTGTACATGTACATGATGTGTTGACGTGATGAAATACCATCGGCCATGGTAGACAATAGGGAAGCTGCCAGATGGATATTGTTCTGGCTGCTGTGTGCTTTTGATGGATCAGAGGTCTTTGTGCTAAAACAGCCCAAACAGTTAACTCCTGGCCTGCCATTTGCACAACGAAATCCGAAAATATGCACAGTCACAATAAAAGACAATTCTGTTCATTACTCAGTTAATCAACTACCCTAGTGTATGTCCAGAAACTTGAGAAGACCGTGCTCAGTGTTTAAGCAATTAGTTTCACATGGTGTGGAATAGTACTGAAGATGATTAAATGCAGTTTGCCAGGAAAGAGAAGATATTTTTGATACATATATTAAAAATGTAAATGTATGTCTAAAAGTGCCATTCCAAAAATGTGGAAAGAGTTTGTAACTGTACACACAAGTGAATAAATGGGCCCAAAGTTGCCTAAGATACTAAAAGTACAAAAGTTAAAAAAAAGTACATGTTTTTTTTAAAGTGTGCAAAGATTTATAGAGTGGCACACAGCATCTAAAGAGAGTATGGAAATAATCAATTCAGCAGCTGGTTGGCTGGTAAGGAGCAGCAACTTATTTCCTCCATTTACTACAGCAAGTCAAACAGTACAATTCCAACAAGCAGAAAAACTACAGGAAGGTTCTTCCTTTCGTGGTAACATTAGACAGTGTGTCTCCTATACAAAAGATAAACAACTAGCACTGGGTGCATTTAAATAGCCATCAAAACTAAAATGTAAGCTTCCCTGCAGTTGACCTCAAATTTATTTAAAAACAAAAAACAGTCCTACCGCCTGTTTTCCATTAGTTTCTTGTCCATGACTCTTTAAAAAAAAACCTCTTTTTTTTAAACTAAAGTATCAAAATCTAGCCTAAGACCCCACAAAATGCATTCTTTTTTTTCCCAAAGATTATTTAAGCCTGGATGATATTGGTTTGGATTTGTGGCTTCCTGTCTGCCGTCTTTCCCACATGGATGTGAACGCACCATGAGAGGTGCTGATAATCCAGCAGGTGGAAAGGTGATAATCCCTCTTCCCTCCCACTTCAGCCTCCAGCATCACTCTACGGTGACCCTGCTTACCGTTCGGTACCGCGTTTCTTTTCTTCTTTTTTCTTTTAGTCCCACGGAGGTTCTCGGGGCAACCAAGACAAGATTAGGCAGATTGATGGAAGGGAGAAGGGAGGGAGAGAGACACAGAGAGAGAGAGCAATACACAGAGTAACAGAGAGAGGAAGTTAACAACAAAAAAGGAGGGAAAAAGAAAAGAAGAATACGCGAGGCTAGTCTAGTCTAAAAAAAAGGGCGCGTGTGGAACCTGTCCCGCGAAGGCGAAGCACAGCGGCTGCGTCCCGCGTGGCCAAGGCCATCCGCCACTGTCAAACATTGGTGTCCCCGTGCAAGGGGCGCACGAGGGGGGTGGTAAGGGGAAGGCGCGCGTTTGAGTGCGCGCGAGTGTATATGTGGTGTAACGCAACTATCACATTCCTGACCAGACAAAAATTTTCTTTAAGAACTTCTGTTAAGGGTAAAATATATATTTGGATTGTTCCTTTTTTTTAATGCAGTATGAGGTAAAACACCCTCTGGGTATTAGCTAATAACTTACTAGTTTTTTTACTGTCATTACAAATAAACATCAATATGGAGGATTACTGATGTCAAAAATGGAGAAATCAGAAAGAAAAAAAACAGACAAAAATTGAAGTGTAAAAGTAAGCTCATCTTTCTACAAGTTCTTCATATTGCAACAGTTTTTAGCCCCCAAAAGGAATTACATGTTAAAGTGTTACATTACATACATGACATTTAGTTACAAGTAAATTACATTCCGTTACTCATTAAGGGTAAACCTCACTTACAAAGATGATATTTTAAATGATTTAAAAGAATAGACACATTAAACACCATCAAGTTTTAATAATAAAAGATACAGAAAAACAGAAATTAAACACAACAAAATACAAATGTAAAGACAAAAACAATATAAACAGAAGCAGAAAACACAGAAACTAAAATCAGTTATCCCAAGCTTAGTACAGACATGAAAATCTTGCAGCAATAGTCAGCCGTGTGGCCAAGCTTAATATGGCCCAGAGCACCAGTGTACAATAAAATGAATTCTATCCACCCAATGACAGCCTTATAATTAAACACTGACATATAGCCCATTTTCACATCTTTTAAACAGAAAAGACTACCTCAGTATTCATGTGAGATTAAGTGATTCATAGTATAAATGTTGACTGCAATAAATGTGAAAGGTAGAGTGATAAATAACATCCAGTCTTAAGAATGCAGGCAGAGACAAATAAATTATAAATGTCACTGTAGCTTTTTTTTAAAAAACTTTTTTCACTCCAAAATGTTGCAAAGTTTTTTCTTTTTCTGTACAAGAAAACACGTTTTTGTTGTTGCTTCTTAACAACTACAAAGGATGGGGTGACACCATCTATTCACCTATGTTATCATTTAGTTTTGTGTCACCCAAAGAAAGAAAAGCATCTGGACTTCTTTAAGTTACTTGAAGACGTTTCACCTCTCATCCGAGAGGCTTCTTCAGTTCGTGAAGTTCAGTGAAACGTCTTCAAGTAACTTAAAGGAGTCCAGACGCTTTTCTTTGCAAGCTCCTTTGACTACGATGACCTGGATGACTGAGAACCTTCACAGACACCCAAAGAAAGTCCCTCTGGGTAGGGGAAGGAATTGTTGCAGACCTGTTTGCTCACCAGCAGGGGTCAGCAGAGTACAGTACCTCATTACAGATCAAAATAATTCATGGGTTTGTCTTTTTCATTCCTTTAAAAACAAACATCATAAATATCATAAGAATATACTACATAACCAGTCAAATGAAAAGAAGATTAAATGTTATCTGGAGAAGTTTTACATTCAATTAATTATTATGAAAAATACAACTTTTTGTAAATATTTGTACATCAGTGGCTTTTCATCAGGACCTTTCGATCAGGACAAGGCCCGGGGGTTGGGGACTGCTGCTTTACATTACTGCCTTCTTGTGGTCTGCTTGTTTTGTACTCATAGGAAATTGTAGCTGTCCCCATTTTTTTCTTTCTACAAACAATTTCTAGAACATGATTCTGGACATTGAACAGAATAAAAAGTATTTAAAATGACCTCAACATTAAACACATGTAGTTAAATACACATGATCTATTTATATTTTTATTTGTTAAACAGCTTATCTACATACAACATGAAAGTATAGTTTTAAGATGCTAACATCCTCTCCACCCCTTGATTTTCTATAGAGTATCATCGAAAATGTCCGATTTGTGAGTTGTATTTACATTTATGATTCTCACACATGCATTATATCTCTAAAATGACAATGTTTTTATCAATTTCTTCTCCACCCTCCGTCTTCTAGCTACATTTCAAAATCAGGTTGAAACAAGTGACTTCTGGTTAGTCCTGATCCGCATCTTCTCTCTGCTGCCTAATTTCTTCTCCTTCTGATCACAGAGAACCCTGCAAGAAAAAATAAATAAATTATATATAATATAAAGAAGTGCATATGGAATGCACAGCTTAAAGCTCAAAAACAAAAGTAATGCAAAAAAGAATTGCGTCAATCAGCTGATTGATCACCTGACTGTCTGATTAATACTATTACCTAGTGACAGCCTTGATGACAAGATATACAAGTTCAGCCATGTTAAGGACCATGCAGATAGATGAGGTAGTGGCCATGAAAACAGTGAAGATGGTTTTCTCAGTTGGACGTGAGATGAAGCAGTCCACCAGGTTAGGACATGGCCATTGATCACATTGCACCAGCCGCGGCATCTGGAAACCATCGTACACCACATACAGAGCATACCTGGAGACACAGATATCGTACCATCAAACCAAAACAGCCATCTGAGACTGATGGAAAAAGGAAGGACTGATCTTACATGAATCCTGCTTCAAACAGCAGCCTGAACACCAGGCTGCAGGCATATGTCCACCAGAGGGCACCAGCTATTGGGAGCCTCCGCTTTTTCAGAGTCTCCAACTCCTCATCTTGGCCCTTTGCGCTGAGAAACCCAGCTCTACCAGGACTCTGTCGCACAGGATGAGATCATTTGAGCACTTAAAGAGCTTTCTACTACAAGTCTCATTCACCCAAACACACACATTCATACATGCCTAAGTGCCTTTTTATCTAGTATTAACTTACACACACTGATTGATGCATTGGGGGCAAATTAGGTCTCTGTCACAGCTGCCCCAAATGACATCATCATTTTGTCTGTCATCACGATGACTTTGTCGTAATCATAATAAAACAATGCACACACCTGAAGGAGCTTCCTCTTATCTCTGTGGTTACGATAGGCCACATACATGGCAACCAGGAGTGTTGGCGTGGAGACAAAGACAAGCTGAAGACACCAGAGACGGATGTGGGACACAGGAAAGAACTGATCATAGCAGACGTTTTCACAGCCAGGCTGAGGGGAAAACAAACCCACCATGATCGTCACAATTATGACAACATCAGTGTATAGTTAATAGACCCTGTGCACGAGAAAATGCTAACTTCCTGGTTTGAGACCGGATGTGGGGTTGTACATTTCCGGTAGCTTTACTTTGCGGTCAATCGCTACTGCGAAGATATGCTCCACAATCATGTCCAAAACTCGAAAACTGAAAGATCGCGTTAAGTTACAAAGAGCAGAAGGTGGGAACACTCACCACTGCTGTGTCATAAAAAATCTAATGATCAATTTTGACGTTTAAAGAGTTTAGATCGATCAGTTGTTTACATCACTCAACACAAGCAGAACTGCATCACTGCAGCAGAAGACACATCGTCCACATTCAGAAGCACATCTCTGTATAGTGACTGGTCTTATGATTTAGCAAATGTTCAGCATTCAAACTACAGGTGAAGAATAGTCAAACCAGATGTTTCCCGTTATGTCGATATCAGCTAGTCAAGTACACACCTACACAGCATGTTAACAAACCGTGAAAAAAGCCACACAAAAAATGAATGATTGCTGGTAAGGGTTTCTATACATTAGTATTTATGAAGGATATGTTGTGACTTACCTTCAAAATTACAGTGGTCCCTCGCTATAACGCGGTTCACCTTTCACCTCGCTGTTTTGCTGATTTTTTAGTGCAAGTTTGCATGCTTATTTTTACGTCACATTGTGTCCTGCGTCCTGATCGCTGCAGACGATCTCCTCCCTGACGTCTCCCCTGTACAGTACAGAATCGCTGCATCGATCGCTAGCAGTGTGACTCTGAAGTGCAGTGCTGTATGTCCACGATGTCCACGAAACGTTTTGCACCGTCAAAAAAATAAAATTGGCTACTTGATTTCACCTATCGCTGGTTATTTTTAGAACATAACACCCGCGATAAACGAGGGACAGCTGAGAAATATAACATTTGAATCCCTTTTCTCTTTTGCTCTGAGGCGCAGGGAAAAATATCAACAAGTCGATGAACATCATTTACAGATATGTTGGGTAAATGCCCAAGACATCTATAGAAATGTAAATCGCTGCTTGATTCATTCATTTGCTTAACTTGTTTTGGACCGTAAACAAGGCGCGAATAGGACACCGGAAACAAAGCTCCCCACAGGAGTTTCCGCACCGGAAGTAGCAAATGCTAACGTGCACATAGTCTATCTCTTTGCCTGGTCCACTGAAATCAAAGCTCAGCTACTGAGTAAAAAGTAGGTGGAAGCTGCTAATAATTATCACACTCTGTGTCATCTTATACGTCTTGTCCATACGTTTGTACCTGTGGACAGTTTATTGCAGTACAAATGTACAAATTTATGCTAAAAGGCCAAGATCATTCTGCTTTGAGATAGTCTTTGTGTAACTAAACTCACCAGCGACTTTGTTAGTTACACTTCACAAGTACTGGGATGAACCTGTTTTTGCCTTCAGAACTGTCTTAATTCTTCGTGGCACCAATTCAACAAAGAGCTGGAAACACTCCTCTGATACTGCGGTCCATGCCATCACTCAGCTGTCATTTAAAATTGTCACAGTCTCCGTTTCCTGTTCCTAGCTGACAGGAGTGGCGCCCAACACAATAAAAGCACAATAAAAATATTAAGTGGTGATAGATAGTGACTACTTTTTAGATTATTAATACTTTATGTTGTATAAAACTTTACAGTATAACTTTGAAGTCAGTTCTTAGACAGGAAACCAGTGGAGAGAAGCCATCTGTTAAAACCAGTGAGAAGAGTAGATTCTGTATTCTTCGAGAACTAGGGGTGAGACAATGATTCTTTGAGCTGCAGAATTCAAGCTCAGACAATAAAACCCAAATCTTATTTTAACAAATAAGTGTCATTATGACTTACATCCCATGTGTGGATCAGATATAAAAATGGACACGTCCTACCTGCAATGTGTTACAGGTGAAGTCAGACTGCTCGTCCCCCCAGACGCTCTCCGCGGCAACAACCAGCACCATGACCCGGAAAATAAAAAGCACAGAGAGCCAGATTTTACCCAGGCTGGTGGCATGACGGTTCGCCCCGACCAACTGAGTGTACAGAGCGGGCCAAGACATCCTGGGGGAAAAGGTTAGGACATGGCCATTGATCACATTGCACCAG